GGAAAGAGGATCAATTATAGTTCTTGCTGCAGAAGGGAGGAAGCTTAACAGATCCTCAGAAGTGAAAGAAAGCATTTCCTGACTTCTGAGAAAAACCTCTATCCCAGAGTTTTAAGGAGAGGACATGAGCCTCTAGATGATCCTAGACAACGGTTTATGAAGGAGCAATTTTCATGTGACTGTCCCTTCTAACAGCTTTCAGAGGGCACTGAGGGCTCAACTCAGACACTGGCAGCTCAGTGAAGGCTCCTGGGGTCAGGGAAGCTCAGGAGGCATGCCTTTGGATCATTTATCTGAGCTCTTACATTCAGGTCTTGCTGGGGATCCTTCCCCTGCTGGAATACCCAGGCCTGAGGGGCAGGAGATAGAAGGGTAAGGTGACGGAGGCTCTGCTGCTGTGAGTTGCTCTGGAGGCCAGACACGTAGTGAGTGCCCAGTGCACGGTGCACACAGCATGCTCTATAGTCAGAAGGGAGAGAGCAGGCCAAGGGAGCCTAGTTCCAGAGGTTAGGGAGAGGTAGGCCCCCACACCTGTCAGGGAGCTCAGCCTATGCTGCTCCTGCCTCCTAGCCAAGGGCCCTACCCTCAGCTACCACTTCACACTTCTCTTTGTTGACCTCTAGGTATTGCCCTGGCCCGGGGCCCTGCTTCTCAGATTGGGCAGGGCAGCAAGGAGGGGCCTCTGGGCAGTTCTGTCCTCCTCCTTCACCTCCTTGAGGGGCCCACAGGGGCCAAGGCTGTACTCTGATCACCCACCATGGAGGGGCATACTGGTACTCTGAGCCTGGGCTGTCACTTGATCCAGGGGCTCACATTCAGGCCTGGCCAGGCCTCCCTCCACTGCTAGAGTCTTTTCTCCCTTTCAACTGGAAACTCTATCAGTCCCAGGGGGCCTCGTGCATGGCCCAGCTCACCGGGCATCAACACAAAACCAGCAGAAGTGGGGCCCTTCCATTGGGACCCCTCCAAAGAGGCCATTTGTGGAGAGATGGCACTGGAGCACCTGGGCCTGGCCATGACCAGAATCCTCAGGAGCTGGCCTCCTCCCCTGGGGTGGCACCAAGTTCTAGGGAAACTCACGGTTCTAAAGAAGCACTGCTGATTAGGGGCTTGGACTCTGAACGTAAAAGATATGGGTTCATACTCTTGCTGGGGCTCAGTTCCTTGCTGTATGACCTTGGCAAATGCCTTGCCCTCTCTGTGCCTGTTGGTTCATTCGTTAGTTTTTTCTTTCTCTTTCCTTCTCTCTCTCTTTCCTTTCCTCTTTCTTGATAGTTTTGTTCCCATGCACTCTCTGGGAAAGTAAGAAATCATTCCCCAGGGGAGATGGCCACACTGTTGTCCCTTCCTTTCTATTCTCCTCTTGGGATTTCAGATGCATGTGCATGCACGTGCGTGCACGCGCGCGCACACACACACACACACACACACACACACGCATGCTCCCAAGCCACCTGACCAGGACTCAAAATGTGATCAACCATGTGGGAGTCTAGTGCCTTAACCACTACGCCACCTACTGGCCCTTGTTTTCTTTTTTTTATAGGTTATATACACTCACTCTCTAGAGAGAAATTGTGAGAAAGCGTCCCCCCAGGAGAATGGCCTCCCTACAATCCCTTCTCTTATGTTTTCCTCTGAGGATGTTGAGCACGCATGCACACATTTGCACCCAGCATGTTTTTCAGTCCTCCGGGTCTGCACCCCAACAGCGCAGTCGCAGTCAGCATGTGGGACCCTGCTGCCTTACCACCACACCACCTGTTGGCCCTCTGTTTTTGCCATAGGTTGCATGCACTCACAGGAGAGAGACAGAGACAGACAGTGAGCGTGAAAGCAAGACATCACCCACTGGGGCAGTGGCCATGCTGCAATTTCTGGAATTTGGGGCACCCACACACATGGCCCTGTCTGATTTTCAAGCCACCATGTCCTGAACTCGAACTGTAGTCAGCCATGTGGGAGTCCGGTGTTGTAACCACTATGCCACCTGCTTGTCTCTCTGTTGCCTCCTTTTAAAATAGGAATAATAACAGGTTCTGCCTCTCATGGGTTATTGTAAGGATTGAACAAAATAATCCTTTAGACCCACCCTGGGTCAGGGCTTCAGACATGGGAGGCCTGTTCTTGATAGTAATGGGGGGCCTAGGAGGCAGGAGCCAATCCTCTGGGAAGTTGGGCAGGAATGGGAAGGATGGCTGAAATCTGTCCCAGATATCACTGCCACCTGCAGGCTGCCAGGATTTACACCCTGGCCCAATTTAGGGACCAAGGAGGCAGCTGAGGACTGGCCCAGTCAGCAGAATGAATTTTCCAAATGAAACACCTATCCCCCTCCTAGGCTGCTGCCCTGGTCCTGACACTGCTGCCCACTGGGCCCCATGGGTCCTCTGACACCCATTGCCTCACGGCCCACCTCTCCCCACAGTGGTGACTGGGGGCCCCCTGGAAGGGCCCTACCGCCTCAAGCAATTCCACTTCCACTGGGGCAAGAAGCACGGCGTGGGCTCAGAGCACACGGTGGACGGAAAGTCATTCCCCAGTGAGGTAAGGACCCTTGGGGACTGTACATGAGGGGCTGGAGGGTGCTGGATGTGTGGCTCTGGAGAGAGTGAGGAGAAGCACTCCGGGGCCTTTGGGAGAGACACCTCTCACCCACCCCTGGCGTGGGGTCTCCCACCTGAACTCTGCCCATTGCTTTCCTGGTCTGTGCATCCAGAAGCATTTTCTAAAGGGCCATTCGGATCTCACCACACCTTTGCTGGCAGCCCCGCAAGGGCTAAGCCCGGCATTCCATGCCCTGCGTGAACTGGTCTTGCCCAGCCTCCTTCTTTCCCCACACTGAGCTGCATGCAGTGCATCTCCTGCCCACACGTCCAAGCTCCTCCCTATGCTGTCTTCTCTGTCCCAAATGCCTCTCCCCCAAGTTTCCACCCCATAACCCCCCTACTTCTTCTTTGGACTTGGCTGCAGGCACCGCCTTTGCAGATAGGTGTCCCACTGGGTGGCCACTATCTGCTTTGTAGTGAGTTCTCTGGAGGGGTCAGATGCCTTTCAGGTCTACTGGGGTTCAGAAAAGAGTTGGGCCCCAAGCTGGGTGGATGCTACCAGTGGCCTCTTGGAGTTCCTGGGCCCCACAGAATGCCAAGCCTGGGAGATCTGACAGCTTCCCCCTCCTGCAGAGGGGCCAGAAGGCTGGTAGGAACAAGGGAAGCCTGGCTCAGAGCTCCCATTGCCCCTTGGGGGTGCCTGGCTTATGACTGTCCCTGTAGCTGCACCTCGTTCATTGGAATGCCAAGAAGTACAGTACGTTTGGGGAGGCGGCAGCCGCACCCGACGGCCTGGCTGTGGTTGGTGTCTTCCTGGAGGTGAGTGGTGCTTACCTGGGACCTGGAGGGACTTGGGTGGCCTGGCACTGCCCCAGCTCTGGAATGCCCTGGGTGCTGGGCTCAGGCTACCTTCTCCCTGGCAGACAGGGGACGAGCACCCCAGCATGAACCGCCTGACAGATGCACTCTACATGGTTCGATTTAAGGTAAGACCGGGGTCCTTGTTCTGCCCCAGGGCATCCTGGGAGGGGAGGGAGAAGAGGCTGGATCATGGAGTGGGCCGATCACGGAGTGCCACCCTCCACCTCGCAGCTGATCCTTGCTGAGTCCGAGGGTGCTGGTCAGCAACTGCAGGGCTATGCGCTGGACTCCTCTTCCTCAGGGTCAGCGGGGCGGCATGCGCGTCACCTTAACGATGGTCTGACGGGCGCTGTCACAGAGAGCAGCTAAAGGCAAGGGAGGGGACATGGTGGCCAAATTGCTCTAGGAGCCACAGCCTTTACATACAAGCAAAAGGGTGGGGAAGGCCCAGCCCAGGCTGCGAGGCGGCATCTGCGATGGCAGATGCTTGCCTACAGCTTGCATCGATGGGCCGAGCAGAAGCCTAACTCCTGTGAAGGAAAGGCTGCTGGTCTGGTCCCACTGGGAGGTGGATGCTGATTCCTGACCCTCTCCCTATCCCAGGGCACCAGGGCCCAGTTCAGCTGCTTCAACCCCAAGTGCCTCCTGCCTGCCAGCTGGCACTACTGGACCTACCCTGGCTCCCTGACGACGCCCCCACTCAGTGAGAGTGTCACCTGGATTGTGCTCCGGGAGCCCATCAGTGTCTCTGAGAGGCAGGTGAGTGCTCCCAGAGCACTAGGTGGAGGTGGGAGTTGCAGCTCTGAGTCTACCCCAGGCAGGGCAGCCGTCCCACCCAGTAACCACAGCCTGTGGTCCCACCAGCAAGGCACCAAACCTTTGCTGATAAGAGTTTACGTTCTTGACTGGAAGTTAGCGTAACTGTTGGTCACTAGGATCTGGACATGGATGGGGAAGGGAGAGCCCTGGATCCTGGGACCTGTGCTGAAATCTAGATGCTGCATTTGCTGATTAAGTCTAGGCTAGACTGCATTGAAATGGGAGCTGTGGGAAAGCAGAGTTGGAGGCCCTTAGAGAGTGGCTGAGGTTGGGTCGCAAAAGGGAGAGATTGTGGGGAGGAGTAGGGTCAAGCCCTAGCGGCAAGAGGAGGGACTGGAGCAGGCTGGGTCAACTTCGCTAGATGATAAATCTGGGGTCGGAGAGGACCACAGCACCCCTATTCTGCCCTGAGCATCTCTTCTGCTTTCTCAAGATGGAGAAGTTTCGGAGTTTGCTTTGCACCTCAGAGGACGATGAGAGGATCCACATGGTGAACAACTTCCGGCCACCACAGCCACTGAAGGGTCGTGTGGTCAAAGCCTCCTTCCAGGCCTGAGCTGCCCGCCTACAGAAGCCGGTCACTAGGGCACCACTTTCCCAAGGGCTTCCATGTCAGCAGACACCAAACCATCTGAGGCTCCCCGCCTGGGGGTACTGTGGACCCCACTTCAGCCGGCTTGCTCCTTGGCCACCCTGGAAGCTTCTTGATGGGACCCTTGAGTCAGGGCACCCTTCAGCTGCCCTGGGGGCAGGAAGAGCAAAGTTAAGCAGGGTCCAAGCCTGGGGCCACCTCTGCTCTCCAATGCCCAAAGGCCTCCTGGGAACCTCCTTTTGTCTTCCCCACTGGCAGTGGCAGCTGTCTCACCCTGAGCTCACACTGTGATGGACAAGCCCGAGCTCCCTGGGGGAGGTAGCTGGCAATGCCAGAAAGACTCAAGCAATAACCAGAGGTGGGCAGAGCTGCCCTCTCGGCCTTACCTCTTCTGCAGGCCTCCGCCATGCACCCACCTCACTGCCAGGCCATTAAAATCAGCACCCAGCCTGTTGGGGGGGGACAAAGCCTTCTCCCTCCAGTCACCTGCTGCGACAGGCTGGCCCTGGCTTATGTAGTATCTCCCCTCACCCCCACCCAGCCACCAAAGCCACTTACATGACAGTCCATTCATATATCAGTTAATAAACTCGTTTATCCATGCACCAAGTGTGTATGCTATGTCAAGGACTTTGGGAAACTAGGCTTCAGGGAGCCAGTGGTGGTGAGGCGAGCACAGCATTGTGGGACAGGTATGGGTGCTGAGCAGGTGAGGGCTATACAAAGGACAAGGACTTTGGGAGCAGGAGAAAGGGGAGCCTTCCTCATTTGGGGAAAAAAATGGAATTCCAAAGCCATAATACACCGTTCAAGAGAAGATGAATCTCCCATGACAATCTCGGTTCAAATCCCTGGCCTGAGTAGCCTGAAACATGCCAGGCACGCACACAAGGGCCCAAGATCTGACACGATAGAGGAAGGGGATCGTGGTGTGACCAGATCCTTGGAGAGAGCTCCTTTTTTAACTCTGTCTCTCATACACACACCTGTGTGCATATGCACTGTATCATGAATAAAGGAAAAAAAAAACAAACAAACAAACCTTAAAACATAAAATTCCAGCCAGTACGATTTTTTTTTTTTTTTTTTTTTTTTTTTTTTTTTTTTTTTTTAGTTTTTGCTCTAGGGCTTGTGCACTTGCTGGAGAGACAGAGAGACAAAGAGAGACAGAAAGTGAGAAATCACCCTTCAGGGGGCATGGCACGCTGCAGTGCCCTCTCCTCCTGGGATCTTGGGTACATACACACACGTGCCTGGTGTGAGTTTCAAGCCTCCAGCTCAGGGACTCCAACCACGTTTGGCCATGTGGGAGTCCAGCAACATAACTCCTACACCATTTGCTGGTCCCCAGTCAGTATTCTAAGGAAGTGAGAAGGGAAGAATGTGTTTGAAACAGAGGGAAGGGGGCCAGCAGGCAGCATGATGGTTAAGGGCACTGGACTCCCCACATGGCTGACCACGGTTTGAGCCCTAGACCTGGAGGCTTGTTTTCTCACTTTCTCTCTCACTCTATTCCTCTCTGGTCACAATAAAATACATAAATAAATGGATAAATAAAGTTAAATAAAATCATTTTTGAAAAAAAAAATTAAAAAGAAACAGAGGGAAGAGCAGGTGTATGGGCTCAGAGCAGTGTGGTGGTGGTGGTGGGGGGTGCTGAGGATAAGCGGGGTGGGGCCTCTCTCCCCAGGCTTTTGGGAGCCTTGAAGGGTGTTAGTAGAGGGGAGGCAGGGCCAGGCAGGAAAAATGAGGAAGATCCCTGTGGAGTGTGGATGGGTGGGCCAGTGCCTGCGGGGAGGGGACAGGGTTGTGGAAGTGGAAAGCAGGGGACTGGATGAGAGAGATTTAGGATGTGGAGCCCAAAATACCTCATTTGGCTGTCCGTGGGAGAGAGGAGCTCGGGTATGTGTCTGGGGGCGGGGTGGGTGTGGGTGTGGGGTTCCTGCCTGGCTGGGAACCCTGGAGACAAGCTGACCAATTGGGACTTGCAGTACTTTGGGGACTTTAGAAGGAAAATTTAAGGAGGCACACACTGTCGGGCCCTGCCCCTGCACTTGCACAGCCCTGAGAGGAAGTGCCTCCTTAAATTTGCACCCTAAGTGCCTCTCTCACCTCTCCCTAGACCCAGCCCCAGTCCAGAGCAATCCCTAAGGCTAGTTTAGAGACCCAGAGATCACTGTGACCCACAGGAGGTGGAGAAGGGCAGGGTGGGGGCAGAAAGGGAGGGGCTGAGGACTCAGAGAAGGTGACAAACTGGGACAGTCAATGTCCAAGTTGGATTGTGAAGGAGGAGAAAGGAGCAGCTGAGGAAGCATGGGGAAGTGGGGGGCGGGGCATACGTGAACACTCTTGGGAAGGAGGTCTGCTGTAGAGCTGGGAGGGACTGGGGTACCTGTCATCTGCTCGGTTTGGCCACGTCTATCATTGTCACTATGGCAGAAGTGCACTCCCAGGCCATGGAACACTTCTGAGCCTAGACTAGAACTCCAACTTTGAGCTCAGGGAGGTGGGGAAGGGAAAGGCTTGCTCTGTTGACCACCCCCGCCACACACTTTAATCTTCAGAGTAAGCAGGGGTAGGGGGAGAGGGGACAGAGGGACAGGGCTCTTGGGTAAGGACTGCCTAGCACACAGCAGGACACAGCTTCACCCCTGCAGGCAGCCCTGGCCTTTCCCAGGGGCTATTCTCTCCCTCCATGTTTCAGGAGACAGAGGGTAGGGGATGTCTGAAGGACAGTGTTTGCTCAGCCTGGGGATAAGTGGCTGTGGCTGTGGGACCATCATGCTGATAATGTGACAAATAAGGCAGGTGAAAGGCCTGGGCCACTTGTCCAGCTCTCTCCCTGAGGTGTAAGAACAATTAATACCCCATTTTACAGAGGAAGATGATGAGGCACAGGAGGTTAGGTAGGTAAGTGATAGAGCAGGCTTTGAACCTGGATCTGCCCAGTAATTCTCCTGCTCTACCCCAGAGCAACTGGGTCCAATGGTGGCCTCCTAGGGGTGGTATAATATCCCCAGTGCTGCGACTGTGCCAGGGACTTTGTCCGGTCCCTCCAAGGGCCTGGCACTGCAAAAGACTTGGAAAGTGGGAGCTAGTTTTACAATTATCCTGGGGCTGCCAAGAATCCTTACTGTCTAAGTCCTTTCTATTAATCCATTTCTTAAATTTAAAACTATTTTAAAACCCAAAATGGCCTCTTTATGTTCTAATCACAGCCCAAAATTTGACCCTATTACCTCCAAATGTGATGTCCCAGATGGATCCCAAATGCCTCCAGCAAGCCTGGCCTCAAGAGACCCAGGACTGAGTCCTGAGTTCTCATCTAGGGCAAGATCATTTCCTAGGGGGGCAGGCTGAACACGAGGATCGGGCCAGCAGTCACCGTATGCTGAGTCTGCACCCAGGCTAGGGAGACAGCCTTCCCTCCAAAGCACCTCCAGGAGGAGCCAGGCCTGGGCCCCTGAGCAAGTCCCTGGTCTGGGGTGGGCCTCAGGAGGTGGCGTGTGTCAGCCTGAAAAAGGAGGGCTGAGGCACAGTAAGCGACGTGAAAGTTTCCATCGGCCCAGGGCTTAGGATGATCTACCTGAGTGACAAGGGTTGTAGTTGCCTGTAGTGTGCACACCAAGAATGGCTGCCGAAAAGGTCAGTTGACATCACAGAGACAGGCAAGAGAGAGAGTTATCAGTCATTTGTCAAGAACTCATACCGGCCCATTTGAAATAATGGAGGCAAACTGATCAGTTATACATTCTTTTTTTCTTTTTTTTAAACTTTGTGAGTGTGTGTCCTTAATTTGCTAAAGGACACATGCATTTATTGGAAAGTGACATACAGACAGACAGAGAGACAGAGAGAAAGCATGTCCTCTGAGGACTATTCACCCTCTAATCCCTTCTCCTTCATCTTTCCCTCCTTTCAGGATTTTGGGCAGGCACACACATGCACCTGGAAATTTTTTTCAAGCCACTGGGTCCAGGACTTGAACCACACAGTCAGCCATGTGGATCCCGCTCATGGAACCACCAGGCCATCAAGGATCCCTATACATTATTTTTTACATCTTGAATATTGCTATGAAGAAAGGGTAGGGTTGCATTTTAACCATTTGCAGCTATTTATCACAAACTGAAACATGCCTTTTTGGCCTTAACTCCAAGGCCTCATCTCATGCATCTCTTGGACTATTAAATTTTCAGTTGGGGGGTGGGGGCTGGCAAGTGGCGTGGTGGTTAAGAGGGCTGGACTCCCAAATGGTCTACTGTGGACAAGTCCCAGACCTGGCAGCTTGCTTTCTCACTTTCTTTTCTCTTTCTCTCCACCCCCTCCCCCATCAAATTAAAATAAATAAATAAATAAAGCTAAATAAAATAATTAATTATTTTAAAAAAGATAAAAATTTAAGTGGGGGAGGTGAGCTAGTGGGGTGGTGCGGCAGCAAAGCACTGCACGGCTGTGGAGCTGACCACATGGGAGGATTCTGGATTTGTGTCTGGGGACCTTCTGAGTACTCTGGGCACAGGCATGCCCATGATCCAGTGCTTGCTGGGCTGGAAGTGAATTATGGCATTTCTGTCTCTCTGTCTCTCTCACTCATGGAGGAAGGAAATATACCTTCAAAATTGTTTAGGGGTCAGCCAGTGGCATGGTGGTTAAGGGGGCTGGATCTCACATGGCTGACTGTGCCGTTTGAGTACCGGACCTGGCAGCTTGAGAAGGATGCCAGGCACATGTGGGTGCATGCCCGAAATCCTGAAAGGAGAATGGATGAGAAGGAATTGCAGTATGGCCATCTCCCCTGGAGGGTCATTTCTCTCTCACTGGCAAGCACACATACTCTATAGCAAAACTAAATAATAATAACAATAATAATAACTGGGGCAGTTCAATCATCTAGTGGCTAAGGGAAGCAGATCCCACATGACTGACCATAGGTTGAATCCCAGCTCAAAAAACGCTGGGCACATGTGCATGGCGGCCCCCAGTCCCCACAGAATGAAGAAATGGAGAAGGAATTGAAGCATGACCACATTTCATTGGAGGGTGCTTTCTCCCTTTCCCTCTCCTTCCCTCTCTTTGTCTCTCTCTGGCAAGAGTAGGCCCCTCTAGCAATTAAAACAAACAAACAAAAAATTTAAATAGACCTGGCATTCCTCAGACTGCTCTGAGCTGCTTTTCTTTCTCGGTGGTTGTAAAGACCCAGCCCTCCACCCCAATTCCTTCTGTAGAGCACTTGTTCCCAACCCCACAGTTACTGCTAGAGCTGCTGCTTGCTGCAGAGGCCTGGAGTGAGAAGGGAGGTCAGACAGCATCCGCCCAGCCTGGGCATCTCAGAGAGCCTCCCACATCCCTGTGTCATAGTATCAACTCTGAGGCCACTGCCAAGGGCAGAGTGAACTGCAACTTGATTAAAGATTTGGGGGTGGGAGGACAGGGCAACAAACAGATGACTTAGTGGTTAAGGTGCTGGACTCCCATATGGCCAACCAAGATTCGAGTCCTAGGCCTGCAGCTTGAAAGTCATGCAGAACGTGTGTGCATGCTTGCCCAAAATCCCAGGAGGAGAATGAAAGAGAAGGGGTTGCAGCGTGTCCATCCCCCCGCCGGGGGTGATCTCTTATTTTGTCACTGTCTCTC